GGGAGGGGGGACAGAGGACAGACCTACTCCCAGGGCCGCTAGAGCCCACAAGACAGAGAGGCCAGGGCAGCTGGTCCGGGAGGGGCAGGAGGCCCGGGCCAGGTAAGGGATTCACCGGGGAAGTTTCTGGAAAAGGAAAAGGCCCAGACACTCTGTGGGCCTTTAGTTTCTCCTTTGTTCACTCTTCTCGAAGACCCAGGATTTAAAAGCAGGCAGGGACCTTCACTCTCTCCCCTATCTCTATTCCTACATCTCTCTGTACCCTCTCTCCCCATCCTCCCCCCTCTCCACTTCCTCCTCCCTCCCAGACATCTGCCCTTTTAATCTCTGCCTTGGCCCCGATTTCTCCACCTCGCCCTTGCTCTGCGCCTTTCTGTCTCTCAGTCTCCCTGTGTTTTCTCTGTAAGCATGTGACATGATGACACAAATTGGGATGTGTGATGGGACAAAGGTGGACATGTGCAGGTCCCCATAGGAAGAGAGGGGGAGAAAAGGCTCCAGCATCGTCCTGGATGTGCACTGAACCGCCAGACCCTGAGAGAGAGAGGAGCAGAGGGTATGGGGTGGGACCCAGAGAGCGGGGAGGGGGAGGTGATGGGAGAGGGGGAGCAGAGGTGGGGACCCAGTCTGGCAGGCAACCTGGACCCTGCTGCCTCCTGTAGCAAATAGTGAACCCCATACTCAAAAACCAGCAAACAAGGCGCCTTTTCTGAGACCCCCATTCAAGTTGGAGAAGGATGGGTGATGGGGGGCGGGAGAGTGGGGAGTAAAGAGGGGCCAGAATGATAAGAGAGCATGGGGAGGAGGAGTGAGATGGAGAAGGCAGTGACTTGGGTGGAAAGCAGGGGGGTGGGAGGGGGGGTGGGGGTGGGAGGAGAAGCTAAATGAGGAAGAAGAGAGATTAGAGAGAGAAATGGGGAAGAAGAGGCGGCCAGCACAAGGTTGGGGGAAAGGACAAGTGTAGCAAAGAAATTAGGAAAGAGGGTAAGAGGAGCATTTGGACCAGAAAAGAAACAGGGAGAGAAGACGAGGGTCACAGTTTCCACACGGAGCCTGGAGGGCTGGGCAGGGGGGAGTGGTTGGGTCCCATCAGCCTCAGGTCCGCAGCCCTTCCCACCCGCCTGCTAATTAACTCCTTAATTGTCTCCGCATTTGCTGAGCTAGCAGACGAAGTGGATGCAGACAGATGGGGGCGCCTGTGATTTCACGCATGGGGGAGCAGAGAAGAGCTGCCTGGGAGTCCCAGGGTGCCTCGCCCCCCTCTTTGCCCTCCTCCCTCCTCTCTGTCTCTGGGAGGCTGCAGGGCGCTTCCGAACCTAGAGCAGATGGGACCATCTGCAACGGAAGAGTCCATGGGGAATTTGCCCCCATCAGCCTTTCGGAGATGAAAACAGGCCGAAACCGGTTTGGCTCAATGGATAGAGCGTCCGGCCTGCGGACTGAAAGGTCCCGGGTTCGATTCCGGTCAAGGGCATGTACCTTGGTTGCGGGCACATCCCCAGTGGGGGGTGTGCAAGAGGCAGCTGATCGATGATTCTCTCTCATCAATGTTTCTAACTCTCTATTCCTCTCTCTTCCTCTCTGTAAAAAAATCAATAAAATAAAATCAATAATATATATATATATATATATAGAGAGAGAGAGAGAGAGAGAGAGAGAGAGAGAGAGAGAGGGAGGGAACACTACTCGCCACTATTGATGGAACACCTACTGTTTACTAGGCATGCGTGTTCCACCGCTGTGGGCATTAGCCAGATTTGATGGTCTGTGGAGAAAGTGAGGCTCAGACAGGTTAAGTAACTTGCCCAGGATCACACAGCGATGGTGTGACAGAGATGGAATTTGAACCCGGGTCAGCAGGATGCCAGAGCCCTGAGTGGGTCCTGGCCTCAGGCCAGTGGAGGGAGGAATGTCTCCAGGCCTGTTTCTCTCTCAGCAGCCCCAGGAGAGAAAGGGAACCGAGGTGCAGGAACTGCAGGGGCCAGAGAGGAGGGGCGTGTGGACAAGAGGCTGAGGAGAGGCCGAGGAGCTGGACTCTGTCACAGTCTGAACGGGAGGTACGTGACCCAGAGAAGCAGAAAGGAGCAGTGGGACACTCATCACAGTCCTTGGGCCTCTCAAGTGTTGTCTTTCTGAAGCCAATCTCCCCCTTCTTCATTTCTGCTCCACAAACCCGTCAGGCTGGCTCGCCCCCTGCCCCTCTGCCCTCTCCCATTCCTCATTTTCACTCCTGGCCTTTGCACTAGAGCCAGTGGTCAACATGTCATCTCTCCTTTGACACCAGGAAATTTTGAAGGCAGGGACGATGCCACTCCTTGCCATGGCCCCAGGGCCAATCCTGGGGCTTAACACAGGAAATGCCTCAGTGGAGGGTTGCTGAAATGCATAGGGCAGGGATGGGGAATGTGTTCAGGGATTCGCCTCACCTCAGATGGAGAGGAAACAACAGCATGAGGGACCTAGGTTTTTCCTAAGAAAGAACTTTGAGCCCTACCCAGGTAGCTCAGTTGGTTAGACAGTCATCCCAATATACCAGGGCTCCGGGTTTGATCTGATCAGGGTACATACAAGAATCAACCAATGAATGCATAAACAAACTTCTCTCTCTCTCTCTCAAATTAAAAAGAAGAAAGAACTTTGAAGGCTGGAGAATTATGCTGAAGCCTTGATTCAGACCCACAGATTCTGAAGATCACAGTTTCTCCAGACTGGCTGCTGTATATTAAAGGTTTTGAACAGTTAATAAATCTGGGCCCCACCCCCAGATTCTGATTGAATTGCTCTCCAATGGGGACACAGCATCAGCATTTTAATTTTTTATTGATTTTTCACAGAGAGGAAGAGAGAGGGATAGAGAGTTAAAAACATCAATGAGAGTGAATCATCGATCCCCTACTGGGGATGTGCCTGCAACCAAGGTACATGCCCTTGACCGGAATCGAACCCGGGACCTTTCAGTCTGCAGGCCGACGCTCTATCCACTGAGCAAAACCGGTCCGGGCAGCATCAGCATTTTAAAAAGCTCCCCAGCTGACTCAAATATGCAGCCTGGGTTGAACCATTGTCAGATTCTGCCCCGATTCAGCTGCACCGGTGGTTTACCACTGGACCCAAACATCAAGGCTAATATTACTTTTTGAGGATTTACTAAGTTCAAGCGAATGTGCCGAGCACTTTCTATGCATTATCTCATGTAATTCCCAGTAACTCCTGTGAAATAAATATTATTCCCATCTTACAGATGAGGAAACTGAGTCAGAGAGGTCCTGCCCCGGGCTAGTGAATGGCAGGACCGGGTCTGGAAACTGAAATTCCCTGAGTCACATCTTTTCTCTTCCCCCGAACTCCCCTTGAGGCTGCTCATTGGCCTCAATCAGTCCTTGCCTGCCTCCACCTCACCTCCTCACCTTGCTTCCACCCACGCTGCTCCCTCAGTAGCATCCCAGGTGACTGAAGCAATCTGCAGCCGTTTCAAGAAGCTCTGTATGTCAGTCACTTAGCCTGCGAGGGTGGGGAACTAAGGGAATTGCAGATGCTTCAAGATGGTCCTCTCATCCCCTGAGGACACTAAGAATTCGGGACCCGGACTGTCCAAGTCTCCCTTGGCTCCCTGTTTGGGGCACTCCCCAACGGAATTCCCACTCCCAAAAGCCTCACTGGGTTGACTCTAAGTATCTGTGAGAGTGCTGCCACCCAGTGGTTGCCCAGGCACATGACAGCCCTCTGAGGCCGCCTGGTGCTGCTGGACAGCTCCCCAACTCAAGACCAGAACCCAAAATCCTCTTTTCCTTCTGGCAGCGCCAAACCTAGGCCCCTAGGAAATGAATCCCATCCTTCCTCCTCCACAGTCCTAAGCCCACAGTTCCTCTAGGGATCTCCCGCTCTCCCCCTGACTTCCCATGTACCCCCTGCCCCCAACCCCTCACAACTTCTCATCCCCTGTGCCAGCCCTTTCCCGGTCCTTAAAGCCCTGAGAACACACCTCTCACCCCCTTTCTCCCAGAGCCGTGCCAGCCTACAAGTGGAGTGAAGGAGCTGCTAGAGATAGAATTCTGGCCCCCCACACCCTCTGCTCATCATCTGACACCATCAGACCTCAACACTTTCTGTGCTAAGAGCCTCTAATGAGCATCAGCAAATTAACAACTTCCCTTTGATTGCTCCTTCTCCGTTAATTGGATAGGAGCCCCCCTCCCCTCAAGACCTCTCAGAGAGAGAGGGAGGGAGAGAAGGAAGATGTGAGAGCTACCGGGGCAGCCCCAGGCCTGGGCTCAGGGCCCCAGAATTCTGCTCTGTCCTCTGAGTACAGCTCCCCCTTCCATCCTTTCCTTGTCCTGTCCCCGCTCCACCCACTTAACCCTCCCCCCTCCTTAGCACCCCTCTATTCTGTTTCCTTGTTTCTTGACTTCGGTCTGAATTCCCTTGATCTCTGCCTATGTCTCCTTCCTTCTCTCTGCTCCTTCTTTAGAGGTAGCATTGAGGGGTTGCAACTATGCTCCCCAAAGCTATAAGGATGGGGTTTGGGTGGCCAAAGCTGTGTGTTTGTTTATATATGTGCATGTTGTGTGCATGTCACATGAACATGGGGATAGGCACAGAGGAATATGTGTAAGCTCCTGAGTGCCTGCCCTGCGGGTCAGGCCTGGGGTGTGTGGGTGTGAGCGGTGTGCTGTGACTCTGGTCTGTATGTGTGCCTTGTCTCCACACCGGCAAGTGCTTGAATCAGTCAAGTGTGACTCGGGATGTGTGTGTGTATGTGTGTGGTGTGTGTGTGCGCGTGCACGCACATGTGTGCCACCAGAGGAGGCAGCAGCAAGAGGCAGGAGCATCGATCCGAAGGAGACGGAGCGGGGAGGGGGACGCTAGGGGCAGACACCCTCCCTCCCTCCCGCGAGCACGCGCGCGCGCACACACACACACACACACACCACACACCACATACACCACACACACACACACACACAGTCACACACACCGTAGGGCCTCGCAGAAAGGGACTGGCCGGGAAGAGGGGGCGAGGCGGCCGGGAGCCCCGGGTCTCGGTCCCAGGTCCGGGGGCCTGGCGCGCGCCCAGCGCGGAGACACCCTCGCAGACACTCGTAGGCGCGCACGCGCGCCCTCTCCCCTCCCCCTCGCCGCTCCTCCGCCGCCTCCCGGCCGGACAGACGATGGATCCCTGCAGATCCCGGCGCTGAGAGCACCGCGCACCGCGCACCGCGCCGAGCCCGGCGGACGGAGCCAAGGCGGGCGAGCGAGCGAGTGCGCGCGGGCGGGCGGACCGGGCTGGGCCGGGCCGAGCGGGCCGCTCCCTGCAGGGCTCTGCGCGGTGCCGCGGCGGCCGGCTCCCGCCCCGGGCCATGCGCCCCTCCGCGGCTCGGCGCTGAGCCCGCGTCCGGCCCCGAACCCCAGGATCGCCGGGTTCCCGAAGCCCCTCAAGGTGGGTCTCTGATCCCCCTGCCTTTGGCTGAGGAAGCCAGGACTTTGCTCCCCTCTCGCTTTCCCCAGCTCCCGGGGCGGCGTGGTGGATGGGGAGGGGGGCGGGGGCCGAATGGGGGCTCTGGCTGCAGGGAGAAGCTGGGCTGGAGGAGTGGGGGTGTTGCGTCCGGGGCGCGGACAGCTCGCTGTCCTAGGGAACCCCCCCCCCCCATGTATCCACCGCGGGCGGCCCTCCCCCCTCCCCAAACGTACACACATACAGCCTGCGGGTTAGGAGAACTAGAGGCGTCTGCAGGTGAGCGCTCAGCCTGGACTGCTACCCACCGCCCTGGGGGCTTTCCGGCCCAGGGTTAGCTCAGGAAGGAGTGGGGGGAGGCCACCCCTGGGGACACCCTTGACCAGGAGCTCCTGACCCGGGTTCAGCCCATCTGAGGGAGTCTTCATCTCCAAGATGGGGTGGACATTCCTGTCCCAGAGTGACCCCACATCTGGAGGGAACTCCGGTGTCTGCCTGTGGGAACACTGGGACTTCCCTCTCGCCCTCGGATGACTATGCCTGCTGTCTCCCCTGCCTGAGAAGCTTCTCTGGGAGAGCATTCTCCTGGCCTGAACTGATTCCCAGCCCCTGCCTGTGGAGGAACCCCCTGCTGGGGGTATGTTCCTGGGCCGGCCAGCTCTGGGCTAGCCCCCCAGGGAGTCTGCTGTGACCTCTGGGGATGGGAACTTCAGATGCACACCTTTGGAGGGACCCTTTATGTACTTTCACCCCAGGATAATGCCTCCCTCTCCTCCCCTCAGGATCCCCTGGGCCAGGATGGAACTGAAGGCTGAGGAGGAAGAGGTGGGTGGAGTCCAGCCGGTGAGCATCCAGGCCTTTGCCAGCAGCTCCACGCTGCACGGCCTGGCCCATATCTTCTCCTATGAGCGGCTGTCGCTGAAGCGGGCACTCTGGGCCCTGTGCTTCCTGGGCTCGCTGGCTGTGCTGCTGTGTGTGTGCACGGAGCGTGTGCAGTACTACTTCAACTACCACCATGTCACCAAGCTTGACGAGGTGGCTGCCTCCCAGCTCACCTTCCCTGCCATCACGCTGTGCAACCTCAACGAGTTCCGTTTTAGCCAAGTCTCCAAGAATGACCTGTACCACGCTGGGGAGCTCCTGGCCCTGCTCAACAACAGGTGGGTGGCTCTCCCCCATCCCCCAGCCCGGCTCCTGGAGTTGCATGCACCCCAGCTCCCAGGCACCCAGTCCCTAACCCCGTGAAGCCCAGACAACCTCCGCCTCCCGTCCCCATCCAGCCTGCCACTCACTGCAAAGGAATCGGGGTACTGCTGAGCACTCAATTAAGGGCACCCCATCTCTGATCACAGCGTAGTCCAGACCAGCCCTGCCCCCACCCGGCCTGAGCTGTAAGACATCACCACCCTCTTCGGAGTGACCCTTCCCCCACCTTCCTGCTGCTATGTCTTGATCTTCTCACTTAGGGGATGGGGACAGGTCATCTTTTACAGGTAGGGACTATGAGAGCCATGGCTCCAGCTTTGATCTCTCTGTCCCCCCACCCTCACCGCTGTGCTGAGATGCCCAGCCCCCAGGCAGCCACTACAGAGCCTTCTGCCTTCTCAGATCCTGTGGGGCAGGTCCTCTGGACACGCCCTGCTCTCTTCTATGCCTGTGCCCAGACCTACCCACAGGGCTGGATGCTGCCCTCCCCCCACCCCCTGGAGGTTGGGTTGACACTGGAGGCCACACAGAGGCAGGAACGGAAAATCATGCTGATCCATGCGCGGCTCGCCCCCGGGTCCCAGGTATGAGATACCGGACACGCAGATGGCCGATGAGAAGCAGCTGGAGATACTGCAGGACAAGGCCAACTTCCGCAGCTTCAAGCCCAAGCCCTTCAACATGCGCGAGTTCTATGACCGAGCGGGGCACGACATCCGAGACATGCTGCTCTCCTGCCAGTTCCGGGGGGAGGTGTGCAGCGCGGAAGACTTCAAGGTGGTGAGTGAGTCCCCTGGGGCGGTGGAGTGTGCAGAGTGTGAGTCAGCTCAGCCGGCCCCGGAGGAGGAGACTGGGAGCAGGCAGTCCTGTCATCCTGCTGGCTCCGCTGGGAGAGGACGCTGTGTGTCCCGGGGGCTCGCGGGGATTTTGTCCAGCATGGGGTGCATTTGTTCTGAGAGAGTGCTGGAGCCTCAGCCTTGTGTCCATGATGTGCCACAACGCACAACACGCACAGGCACACGCACAGCCTGGCATGGCCTTGACCCCATCAAGCTCGCCTTCTGCGCCACAGGTGTCAGCGCTGGGGGCTAGGGGCCGAGGACCATCCCCTGGGAGCTGGAAAGAAATGCAGACTTTACCACCCCCACCTCCTGATTCAGAATCTGCATTTTAACAAGATCCCTGGGTGACTTGAATTCAAGTCTGAGACGCACTGTGAAACGTGAAAAGCAAGGGAAGCTTTCTGTTAAATAGCCAGATAGGAATTCTCTCCGTGCCACTCCACACACACACACACACACACACACACACACACAGCACATACACTAGACGTACACTGTCCAGTTGGGTTACCCCCTTGCCACCAAGAGCCACAGAGCCACACGGTCTGAGGAAGGAGAGATGTTTGGGCTACCCAGTCATGGCTGAACAGCAAGCTCCCTTTGCTTCTTAGAATGGAGATGCCCCATGGGTGGGCTGCCTTAGAGCCAGCACCCCAGAGAGGGTTAGGGGCACTCTCTGTCCCGGGTGATGCTAAGCATCATACAGGTTCCTGAGGGCATAGAACCAGAAAGAGGCTGGAAAGGGACCAGAGGGCCCGGAGCCGTGTCTGAAAAATAACAGTGAATGAGAGGACGGTGCTGATACTCCTCCAGAATGCTTTCTAGACCCCTGCCATGTTATCCCTGGACAAACAGCCATATTATCTCTATTTTATGAATGCACAAACTGAGAGGGAGAGGGAGCCGGTTAGTTACAGATTCAGGATTAGAACGTGTCTCCGTAAGTCCCAATGCAGTGCGCTCTTTTTGTTAACACTGCTGACCCTGGAGCCAGCGTATCTACTTCCAATTCTGGCCACTGCCCTTTGAAAACCCAGCCTCGCTCTCCATGCCAGCCCCCACTTCTCCACTCTCAGAGCCTCCCTCTCTCCCTGCCCGTTCTCTTCCCTCCTTGCTTGCTTCCTCCCAGCGATGTGGGAGCATGAACCGCATTTGTTTGTGTAGAAAGGTTGAGCCTGTAGAAAGGTCGTGCTTGTTTTTTCTTGCTGAGGTTACACAAGACTTCCCAATTTTTTAATTAAATTAAGGTTTTTTTTAATATGTGTGGGGTTTTTTTGTTTTTTTTTTAGAGAAAAAGGGAGAGAGAGAGAGAACATCGATCTGTCGATGGCTGCCTCCTGCAGCCCCCCTTCCAGAGACAGGGCAATGGGCCCTGCAGTTCAGACATGTGTCCTAACCGGGAGTCCCATCGGAGTCCTCCGGAGCCTGTGTCAGTGCTCAGTACTGAGCCACACCCACCAGGCGGACTTCCCAATCGCTTAAAGCCCCGCTCTACAGACTGGTTTTACGAGCTCTTGTTGTCCTGCCAGACAAAAGTTACAGGATCGCACGATTTGCTGAGCCAAGCTGATGGGGAGCTTAATGTGAGGCAAGAACCACTCTCTTCCCTCTTTCCCTTCCTCAAAACAGGGGAGTCCTGGCTTCCCCGGAGCCCTCGCCCTCAGGGCTCCCAGGCTCACTGTGCTCCCAAGAGAATAGAGCTGTTGGCGAAGGTGAAGGTGAAAGCCAAGGCCTTGCTCCCAACACACCAGCAGAAGGGGCCACCAAGAACGAGAACACCATCCCTCTGTGGATGGCTTGTGTGCTGGGGGAGGGAGGGAAGGGCTAAGGTGTAAGATGAGGGTACAGATGGTCCATAGAGAGCGTTCCATTGCTCCATTCATTTCTCATGTCCAGAGAGATTCCAAGTGGTGTTGCTAAGGCATGTTTTGGTTTATGGAAATGAAATTACTGGAATGTGATCATTCTATTTTGTCTGAGGGGACAATTCTAATTATCAGATGGAGATATGCCTGGTTCAGAAAATTCTGGAGTAATCTGAGTTCTTCCTTTTGCTGGGAAAGACATACAGGCCAGGAGCTTGTAGGCACTTCTTGGTCTGGGTTGTCAGGCAAGACCAGGTGTTTGCTGTCTCTGAGCCCTTATCAAAGAAGACCTGACCCTTAATCTGGCTGAACCCAAACCCCTCAGCCCCTTCTTTTACCCTCTCTGGTTGACCCCACTGCCGGATCCTTTCCATGTCAGGAACTCTACCGCGTCTGCCCATGGGGATGCGCCTAATGGAGGGGACCTATGTTGTGAGTCCATGTCTGACATCTCCCTGGTGGAGCAGGTCTGGCACTCCTCCAGCTCCCTGGTTCTAAGGGATGCAGACACTCCTGGCCTGATGCTCTGCTCCACTCTCTCACTCTATTTGTCTCTCTTTCCTTCTCTTTGTTAGTCCTCATTAGAGAAAGTGGAAAGGAAGGAGGGAGGGGGAGAAAGAGAACATCGATGGGAGAGAGAAAGAGACATAGATTGGCTGCCTCCCACACGTGTTCCTGCTGGTGCCAGGGATCAAATCTGCAGCCCAGGTGTGCGCCTTTGACAGGGAATCAAACCCTGGACTCCTCCGTGGGTGTGCAGGCTGATGTTCTAACCCCTGAGCAACACTAGCCAGGACTCTACCTTCTCCCTTCTCTCCTGGTCTCATAGTGAACAGCTGCCTTTTCATCCTTGCCAGCCCCTGCCAGACCAAAAGGGGTGTATCTACCCACTAGGCCGATGTGACACTGACAGAAAACATCTGTTTCGGGTTAGAGCTTAGGGGAGACATCTTGGCACCTCTACCACCTCAAGAGCAGAGATTCTTTTTTTCTTTCTTTTTGTAAAATTTTATATATATATATATTATGGTCTCACATAATTATCCTATTCCCCCATTCCCATCCCAAACCCATCCCTAGATATGCCCCCCGCCCCAAGAGCAGAGATTCTTAACTGGAGGGTCCAAGCCCTGGCTCACAGTGTCTGCAAAGTACAGTGTGCATGGACATCAGGTGAACTCCTTTGCAGGTTTCAAAGGGTAACCCTCATCCAACCTGTAAGAGGTTGTATGTGAGGGTGTGTGTGTGTGAGACTGTGTGAGGGTCTGTGTGACTGTGCCTGAGGGTGTGTGTGAGGGTGTGTGTGAGGGTCTGTAAGGGTGTGTGTGAGGGTGTGAGTGAGGGTCTGTAAGGGTGTGTGTGAGGGTCTTTGAGGGTGTGTGAGGGTGTGTGTGAGGGTCTGTGAGGGTCTGTGAGGGACTATGTGAGGATGTGTGAGGGTCTCTGAGGGTGTGTGAGGATGTGTGAGGGTCTGTGAGGGTGTGTGAGGGTCTGTGAGGAAGTGTGAGGGTCTGTGAGGGTATGTGAAGGTCTGTGAGGGTCTGTGAGGGACTATGTGAGGAAGTGTGAGGGTCTGTGAGGGTGTGTGAGGATGTGTGAGGGTCTGTGAGGGACTGTGTGAGGGTCTGTGAGGGTGTGTGAGGATGTGTGAGGGTCTGTGAGGGACTGTGTGAAGGTCTGTGAGGGTGTGTGAGGGTGTGTGAGGGACTGTGTGAGGGTCTGTGAGGGTGTGTGAGGGTGTGTGAGGGACTGTGTGAGGGTCTGTGAGGGTGTGTGTGGGGGTGTGTGGGGGGGTCTGTGAGGGTCTGTGAGGGACTGTGTGAGGGTCTGTGAGGGTGTGTGAGGGTGTGTGAGGGTCTGTGAGGGTCTGTGAGGGTGTGTGAGGGTGTGTGTGGGGGTGTGTGTGGGGGTCTGTGAGGGTCTGTGTGAGGGTGTGTGTGAGGGTCTGTGAGGGTCTGAGGGTGTGTGAGGGTGTGTGAGGGTGTGTGAGGGTGTGTGTGAGGGTCTGTGAAGGTGTGTGTGAGGGTCTGTGAGGGACTGTGTGAGGGTCTGTGAGGGTGTGTGAGGGTGTGTGAGGGTGTGTGAGGGTGTGTGAGGGTGTGTGAGGGTGTGTGTGAGGGTGTGTGAGGGTGTGTGTGAGGGTCTGTGAGGGACTGTGTGAGGGTCTGTGAGGGTGTGTGAGGGTGCGTGAGGGTCTGTGAGGGTGTGTGAGGGTGTGTGAGGGTGTGTGAGGGTGTGTGTGAGGGTGTGTGTGAGGGTGTGTGAGGGTGTGTGAGGGTGTGTGTGAGGGTCTGTGAGGGTGTGTGTGAGGGTGTGTGTGTGGGTCTGTGAGGGACTGTGTGAGGGTGAGTGTGAGGGTGTGTGTGAGGGTCTGTGAGGGTGTGTGTGAGGGTGTGTGTGAGGGTGTGTGAGGGTCTGTGAGGGTGTGTGTGAGGGTGTGTGAGGGTGTGTGAGGGTCTGTGAGGGTGAGTGTGAGGGTGTGTGTGAGGGTCTGTGAGGGTGTGTGTGAGGGTGTGTGTGAGGGTGTGTGAGGGTCTGTGAGGGTGTGTGTGAGGGTGTGTGTGAGGGTCTGTGAGGGTGTGTGAGGGTGTGTGTGAGGGTGTGTGTGAGGGTCTGTGAGGGTGTGTGTGAGGGTGTGTGAGGGACTGTGTGAGGGTCCGTGAGGGTGTGTGAGGGTCTGTGAGGGTGTGTGTGAGGGTCTGTGAGGGTCTGTGAGGGACTCTGTGAGGGTCTGTGAGGGTCTGTGAGGGACTCTGTGAGGGTCTGTGAGGGACTGTGTGAGGGTCTGTGAGGATGTGTCTGTTCGGGGGCCATGGGAGGGCATATTCTCAAACATCCTAGCTCAACCTGCGGGGACAGACTGGTGGTCACAATGTTTGGCAGGTCCATCCCCCGCTGCGCTGAGTCCGCTTGGGGGAGTGGGGTGACAATGGGAAACATGGGCTAAATGGGGAGGAACAGGCTGGAAGCTCTGGGACTGAAGGACGGAGAGCCGTGGGGAGACATCCCCAGCAGCTGGGTGGGCCTCAGGAGCTCTTTCCTGAGCCACCAAAAGAGCAACCAGAGGCCCGCC